ATCCTACTGCTTCTGTATGTGGGAGGAGACGGTAGTGGTGACCTGCATATGTAGTTACTTAGCACGATAGAGGTGCTGGGTTCAAGTCTCAGCGGGGAGCAACATTTTCCACATTAACTGTAAATTTCATTGATCAAGGAATAAACTACTTCAGCAACCAAACAAGTCGTTAACTCAAATATTTCCGAGACAATGGTGATCTGGTGTGGCAATTTCAAAACATGCGAAACAAGGCCATGCGTTACGGACGCCATTCAAATTGAACCACGTGATAGCTGATCAAAGATCAACACGACTTAAACCTACATTCAAAAATCCTTAGCACATGGTGACGCTCAGTGAATCATTACACCTAGGTAAGCGAATTTGATTTAAAGAGTAAAAGTCAGAAAAGTGTACTATAATCAAAACAAGCCAAGTGCCTAAAGAATGTTGATTTATGCACTATTCGAATAAACAGTTATCTTATAATGTGCAGTGAAGGCTAAAATATTCAGATTTCAATTTCATTTAGTCAGATCCTAATCGGAAACTGACGCTGAACCGAAATAACCCCAGGAAATCAAGTTATTTACTACTCTTAAAGAGTACAACCGTCGTGGCTATACCTTATGTAGAACTTGAATGCGGTAGGATCCTTCGCCAGGGGTCGGTTTTCCGTCATGAACCACGTTTGCGATGAGGTCGTAGGTCGTGTATGGATGAAGCGGCTTAGCATCTTCCGCCAGGCAATCGTACAGATCTACGTTTCTAAAATTAAAGTCAATCAGGAAATATTCTTCCTGAAAAACTGTACTCATGACTGATTACTTAATTGGGAAATTGATTATCGTAGGGTTCTTCTCGACATACCAATGATTTTTCGTAAACCGCTATAAACAACAAATTTTAGCGTTTAAAATTCTAAAAGAGACTATCACCTGCCAGTACCTTAACGAACATGATCAGAAACGACGGTAATTTAATGATTTCGAATCTCTTCATGATATTCTCGTTGTAAGTTTTGTACTCTTTCTCGGTTAATCCACTGAACTTCGCTAAAAGATTGGCCAGGGGCACTTGAGGAATGATGTTTTGCATGAACTCGTCTCGGTAAAGCGGGGCTGGTGGCAGATCCAATGTTAGATGCAAAAACGGCTGCTCCTGCATTATTTCTAAGGATAAAACTTTGTAGAGATTGAGCTAAATATTCGTCGCTGAATATTTAGCCAGAATTTTCATATATTCTCAACATCTACACGAGCATATCGTTCTTCACTAAAAAAACACCTAACGGCCTATTTTAGACATAGCCTATTATAAATCATCTACTATAAGAGAACCCTTAAGGAGCGCCACGGAATGATCGACCCGTCGTTTCAGACATCTATCAACATCTTGCAGCAGCTCTTTGGACATGTACTTTAACAGATTGAAGGTGGGCTTTGGTTAGCCACCGCTGTGATGGTATTCACCTACCCGTATACATCTTCAGGCTCCATTTCACTGCGGCGCTTACCAATTTCATCTTCAAATCAGGGTCAGTTAAAGTAAGATACATCGTCGCGTTTCTGTGCTAGCGAATATTCAGTCGGGCCGTAGACTGCTTCGCTCTGCGGCTGCTGAATCGAACTGCTTTAACCACGGCAGCGATGTCATACAGCAAATCAGGGTTGTGGCAAGAATTAGATCGCAAGAACAGAGAATCTGCTGCCTATCTTTACCTGGAACATCGCGCAAGGGACAGAGTTCTCTAACAGGTCCTATCAAAGCGTGGTTGCTAGTGGAAGCCGAAATTTCGCGACCACTAGAAGGTTCTCGCTTCAAATGTCCGCAATATTCATGAAAGACAGCTTGCCTTCTGTCTTTAGCGAGCAATCCATCTGCTTCTTGATGTTACCTCCGATACAGCATTTAACTGAATGTATCAATGAGGTGACATTTCTCCATGGACCCTCGGATCAATGGTGAAACGGTCAAAAGAACGACTTCGAAACATGACTAAGACATTACGTTTTAATTCGATGTGCTGTATGTCGTCTGACCTCTTTTAGTAATGCTGTCGAGTAGCCTCCACGACTGGAAGAAAAAGGAAACACTGTAACAGGCTTCGAAGTTTAAAATCAGCAAAAAGGACAGAAAATAGCGGGTTTAAAATTGACCAGAAACGGAGACATACCTTTGTATTCCTCTGTCAGCAAGAGTCTGGTCCTCTCGTCATCATCCTGAATCAGAGAACAATGCAAAGCAGATCAAAATAAAAAAATATTACCGCATCCACCGGAAGCACTTTTCGCTTATATGATCGCATGTGTCCACGAAACGTTCGATAAATAACGCTCGACTTAGTGCTTTTCTTGCCGTTCAGGGAAACATGCAACGCATTTAGAAGCCAAGATAAAAATTCGTTTGCGTCCCCTAAAAGCAAACAGTAGTTTAGCAAAATATAAATGACCATAGAAAACAAAAACTCTAAATCAAAACAAATTATGCGTCATGCAATAAAAAATTCATAGCCTATATTTGCAAATCGCTAACAAATCAATGATCTCAAAAACTAGACAACGGATGGCACCAATTGATTCTATTTTGAGACAACTAGGAATCAAAGAAAGGCTGGTATTGGAAAATAAATTTTAAATGTATATAATAATCGTCAATGG